AGATATGGAAGGATGTTCATTGAAGTAAGGAAAATTTAAATTAAAGAACTTAGTACATCTGATATTCTGTAGACTTGAAGAAATTGTCATGTTGGGTTATAACATTTTTACATAGATTGAACATTTATGTTGATTACCTGGGTTATATTTCCCTCAGGTCTAATTATATGTGACCTTGTGTTATTCTGTATACACCTTCTTATCAGTATGTACATAAGTTTAAAATAGCTGCTTGTCAAGAGAAATGTAATATTTTTCAAACGTTTACAGGATGCTAAGCAGTATAATCGTGTATACGAGGTGGAGGCCATGGAGAAACAGCTCGAAGAAAAGGATAGACAGATGAGAGAGCTGGAAATAAAAATAAAACAGTTGAAAGAAAAGTTTGTGGTTTCCAGCCACGCCTCTCAAGGCCCATCAAAGGTAGGTTGTATAAAAAGCGTTAATATTATAAACGTACTTTTACTTTATTTTATTAGTACCTGTCCCCCTGGCTGGAAGTTATGTAAATTAATTATAAATGAAAGGCTATCTTAGGACATTAAAAGTTGCTTCCCTTGTATGTAAATGTAAAAACTCCCATAAAACTCTAACATGCAAAACTTGTCCAAGTTCACTATAACCCATTTGTTGTTTTGGGCGTTATTAATGTATCCAAGTACACTACGTACTTTCGTCATTCTACGTATCGGTTTGTTATCTTGACCTATATTGTTACATGTTTAATTTCCAGCGTCATTCTACGTATGGGTTTGTTATCTTGACCTATATTGTTACATGTTTAATTTCCAGGGTCATTCTACGTATGGGTTTGTTATGTTGACCTATATTGTTGCATGTTTAATTTCCAGCGTCATGCTACGTATGGGTTTGTTATCTTGACCTATATTGTTACATGTTTAATTTCCAGGGTCATTCTACGTATGGGTTTGTTATCTTGATCTATATTGTTACATGTTTAATTTCCAGGGTCATTCTACGTATGGGTTTGTTATGTTGACCTATATTGTTGCATGTTTAATTTCCAGCGTC